AGTTGGGGGGCGGAGCTTCTTCTTAACTTCTTCCTCGAGGTTTAATTTACCCATCCATCAAGTTAGAGGGGTGACTGCATTCAATTTCGATTTTTTCCAGACCATTTTGGAGCCAACACCTTTTATGAGTGGTGGTGGGGCGGTTACAGCAGTCCATAATATCAAAACGCATTGGAGAAAGCCCAGGAGTTCGGCAAGTTTGTTAGAGTTCGAGAATCTCACATCCGTCTTTAATTCTTTACGGTTTCGAGGAGTTCTGAAAATAGCTCGCTATAAAGAATCATATGGTGCAATCCGAAAAGTTCTTTTCATATGGTTTCGCCACTAGGTAAGAGTGTGCTCCTCTCGCTTCTACTTTTTGAGAAACTGAATTATCTGGCAACTAGCGCTAAGTATTATGCATCCCTGCGAATTTTCGGCTCGTCATTGCAGTTGGCCGCCATGCAAGGCGTGTAGAAATATTTATTTATTTATTTAGCAATACGTTGTATAAGACAACGTTAAAAAGGACTCACCAAATACAATACAGCAACACTAGAGACTGAACGTATAACAGCAATGTGATTAGAAGTGGAAACATGGTACCAGCTATGCCTACTCTACGAGTTGTAGGGGTTTTGCTATTGAGCGTTTGAAAGATGCCCGAGGGCCTGAGCAGCACTTAAATTCACTGAAATGCAGGTATGAAGGACCTGCCTTGACAGTGAAAAAGTGCGACAAAAAAAATCTTCCTAGTATCCATGAAGTGAGGGATGAGCCAGGAGGTCCCAAGTGCATATGACAGGATTTGGCATAGGACAGAGGAATTTGCCAATCTCTGGACCACCTTACGGGACTGTTGACGGAGGATAGTAGGAAATGGGCATCCAGAGGAGAGTCAATAACTTTAAATTTTAAATCATCAGCATACTGTTCACATACAGTATCGTACTGAGAAGAAATCATGGGCAAATTCGCATAATATATATTGAAAAGTATTGGGGATAAGACCCCTCCTCTTTGCATGAAGGACTTCCGAAAAAGAGTTGTTTATGCGAACATGATAAATATGCTCGCTGAGGTATTCCTCTATCCACCTGTACACTTTATCATGGAATCCAAACTTACGAATTTTTTAGATCAGCCTTTTATGACTGACTTTATCGAAAGCTTCGGTAATATCAAAGTAGAATATAACAACTCTTCTTATTGTCTAAAGCTTCTGTCCAGTCATTAGGTGATTCAAGCATATTCGTAACTACAGGCCTCCGTGTTACAATATCATGTTGTGAATCAGGAATCAATTTGTCCTCTGCAAGATGATCAAGAATATGCTTTTTCAACAGCTTCTCAAACACCCTACAGAAAATGGATGTGATGCTGAGGGGCATGTAATTAGAAACATCAGGCGAGGGCGCTTTCTTCAAGATGGCCGTGATATACGAGTGCTTCCACAATCTAGGAACTTGAGAAAACGTCATGGACTGATTAAATAAATAGGACAAGGGAGAAGTTATAGCGTGAGCTATAGTCTTAACGAACTCGATTGGTAAATGGTCAGGTGTAATCGACGATGAACAGGACGACTTCCTCAAAAGCTCATAGACATCATTAGCATGAAAATGAGGAAAAGTCAGGATCTGCTTCGAAATGTAAGGCGAGAATGGAGGAAGATCATTGTTGTCGTCTTGGAACACTTTGGTAAACTCAGCCGCCAAGGCACTAGCCTTTTCAGAATCGTTCACTAGGAGTCGATCTTGCAATTTCAAATCCGTGAATAAAGATTTGCTTTTGAGGTTTGACCTGATAAACTTTAAAAAGCGATGCTTACTACTGAATTCTATGATCTTCTTTTCAATACTGCTATTGAATTCAATAAGCTTGTTTGAAAACTTATCTGAAAAAGCTCTGTACTCGGTCCAAACACCGCTCCGTTTGGCATACTGCAAGAAGCAGTCCTTGTGGTCCATCATGTTTTGTAGATAGACTGGGAGGGTATCTCTGGTAGGGAGGGTGTAACCACAAAGAACAAACAGATCTATGGTGTGCCCGAGTATAGAGAGGATTATCATATATTTTTCATCAAAAAAAGGTTACCGACTCAAAAGAGGGAATTCATTGGATACTGAACAGGTAACTACAAATGATAGAGTAATCGCAGTTGGCAAAAAATCTTTTTGAAAACCGAAGTGCAGGGAACAGTGCGTCCCGTGATACTAAAGGAGGCACAGAAATGATCAGTATTGCCGATTGTTGACTTGACTGAAACATTACTTATGAGATTCTGATCATTAGAGAACAGAAGGTCAAGCAAATTGTTATCCCTAGTGAGCTGTTCAAGGTTTAGCTTGAATCCATGAGATGCGAAAGTATCAAAAAGTGGATGAGTGATATCTCTGCAGCTATTACATTGTATCCAATCGATTTCTGGAGTATTGAAATCACCTATTACGAGGACTGGCACTGATACCACAGCTAAATCGCTGACCGCTTTTCCAAATTGCTCGTTTATGGTAGGAGGACATGACGGAGACCTATATATTAGCACAATTCTGACGCAAAGGTCGGGGAGAGCGATGTCCGCAGCTAAAAGTTTATAACCACCAAAGTTTGTTTCTTCCTTAGATTCTTTCAGATTGTATTGCATACTGCATTTCTTTCTTTACTTTTATTACTTCTTTCTATTTTTCGTCTCTCTCTCCAGAGCAAGAAGTCGGTTGATTGATGTAGGCTTCCGATGATACTGTGGCCTCATCTATATGTGTTCCAGCTGTTTGAGGAGCCTGTGAGACGAAGAATCCCCCCGCTCAAGGTGTTCCTTGGGCTTGTCTCCTTTAGTCACTGATGCATTTTCACAGTGTGGGGCTGAGTTGCCAGCAAGCCTTAAGGCTTCGCCCCCCTAATTGTCTTCATAACGTGGATCACTAGCTTGTTGAGATACCTCTTTTCCACAGAGGAGAGCAGCCTGCATTCTCACATAGGAGAGGTCCCTGTGTGATTCTAGCGATGTTCCTTCAGGCATATTCTTGGTCTGTTTTCTTCTTTCCTTATTTTCGTAGTCAGATGTTTCGTACATAACCTCAGGCTTTGTCTTGAGGCTCCCTTACTTTTCTTCCCNTTCATAACGTGGATCACTAGCTTGTTGAGATACCTCTTTTCCACAGAGGAGAGCAGCCTGCATTCTCACATAGGAGAGGTCCCTGTGTGATTCTAGCGATGTTCCTTCAGGCATATTCTTGGTCTGTTTTCTTCTTTCCTTATTTTCGTAGTCAGATGTTTCGTACATAACCTCAGGCTTTGTCTTGAGGCTCCCTTACTTTTCTTCCCCCTACGCTTTCTCTTCTTCTTTTTTGTTGTTGTTAACATAAGAGACATAAGAATTGCTTCAAAGTCCATGCCCTTATGTTGTACGGCACACCATTGGGTGTATTCAAATAAATAAATAAATAAACCACCGGGAACACAGCCCGACGATATGGTTGAATAGGTCATGATTTCTTATGAACATGGCAGCTCCCCCTCCTGTCCTCCGACTCCTATCACAAGGGAGAACAGCATACTCTTCAATTCATTTACTAAGCGTAGCCGGTACAAAGTGGTAGCTTTTCAACCAAGTTTCAGTAAAGAAGTATAAATTATATCTTTCAGCTGACTCAACATTAAGAAATATACGATTCTCAGGAAAAGACCGAATATTGGTGTTTAAGGCAGAAATAGTAGAAAAGAAAGACGAGATTCATCCACAATCATTTCCAGAGCACACAACCCTAATCAGTTTTTTGCCTGAGAATTTTTCAAAAACGGTATATGTGATGCTTTTACAATTTCACCTTTGTAAACTACAGAAACTCGTTCGTCCTTGTGCTGGTCGCGCTTAGGTTCGTGGGTACGATTGCGAAGATCAGGATCAATCGCTCTTTGCTCAGGAGTCATCGATTTTCTTACGAACGCGCTAGAAAATTTCGGCTAAGAACACAACTACTTTGCTTTAGAAAGAGTTTGAACCGTAAATTCCCTGGAAGTAAAGACACATTTGATCTGTCTGAGCTCTTGGCCATGAGCTCTTGGCCAACTTTGCTTATTCGGAACACCTCAGTTGGCCTAGTTTCGATGTCGAGAAGGCCAAGAATCTCGAAGACACTCCTTTCTGTAAACTGTGATGATGCGGATAAGCCACCGTCGGCTTTCGGAATCCATGAATCACGGTGGAACGCTCTCGCTTCTCGGTATGAGCTGCATCCAGGGAAAGAGAAGATAGCTTTGTAGGTAGCTGATCTGATAAATTAAGCGTTTCTGGGGCTTTGGCAGCTAGAGTATGCTGAACATTGCTCAGTAGTTTAGCAGCATCGTCGTCGAGTACTGCATTTGAATGAATATTCGCCAGAATAGGGGACCAAGGCTTCCTCTTTTTCGGCACATAATGTAGAGGGTTAGCCGGTTGAGGGGTCGACTGAGACATTGGTTACTCAGCGACCGCTCTCTGTGACCGCACACGCAAGATACGTTGGTTACCCTTTCCTCTTTATGGGCACAAATTGTTGTGATTTACGTGGACCTATGTACGCTGTCAGCCGCGATATCGACATTGCGAAATATTTCTTATTATTTCTTTATTTTATTTCTATTATTTCCTTCATACTGGCTCACATAAATAGCGTTTTTCACTCGAATTTCCGTTAAGGGCGAGTGCTGTTTCTACTCGTGTGTGCGGAAAAGTTGAGAAAATATAGTTGGCTTTTTCAATACAAAATAAACACAGCAATAAACTTAGAGCAGTGATCAAAATAATGGCCATTCTTGGCCACAATGTCATTCCATCAACCGGACTGGGTATTAATGTCATTCCTCCAATATGGAGAAAGACCTGACGCAATTCACTCATCTACCACCGACTTGAGGACTTTTGGAAGTATGGCAGTCATATGGGCTAAGGTTATATAAATATTTGGGGATCGGAGTAGCCAGGTTATACCGAGTCTTTCCAACTCATCCATCGACGTGCTCGCGTGGGGTGGGCGAGCATTATTCATCATAATCAAAAACTCCTTAGCAATAGAAGTGAAATGGGAGCTTGAAACACCATCTCTTTCAGATGTTGAGAGAATACTCCTGCGTTTACCGGAGTGCACTCCGGGAGGAGCTCATAATAAAACACCCGGTTGAGCAAAGGGAGAATGAGTTCATGCCTTTCTCGGCTTGTGCTCCTCGCTTTATAGCGGGCTGTGGCTTTACGTCCGCTGTTAGGCATTGCGATTTCCTGTATCGATTTTCATATAACATCTACACTTTTCATGAGCAATGATGAAGTCGGTTGATGTCGCCGTTCACCTATAGTCGAAGAGCGTCTGACAAACATTGACTCACACTTGACACTCGTGTTCACTCAAGGATGTGCGATATTTGCAAATAGTCCTGCTTTGAAAGTGTCTTTTGTGTAGGATAGAATGAGTGATTTGTGGGTAGAGATCGTATTCCCCGAATTCTGCCACTTTGAACAGGATTGCTCTAGCGGGAGGCCAGAACAGTGCTTGTGTTTTTGGAAAGTGGACGTTCGCTTCGATAAGCTTCGTCAATGCAAATCTCTTCTCAGAAGAGGATCGTGCTTCTTTCAGAAGAGGATCGTGCTTCTTATGGTAGGTGACAATAGAAGGTCACTCTTGCCAATCAGTCACCATATCATTCCACGCCCGAGTGTCGAAGCGATCAGTTTCGTAATGATGAAGCAGAAGGTATCGGTTGTCTGATCTATGGCACAACGCTCGGTCGATGATTACGACCTCGTCAAATACCGATCAGCTACAATATCCTATCCTACTATATATAATTCGCTAAGTATGTCTGTTGGTGTGTCAGTGTGTTTGTGTGTGTGTCGGTGTGTGTGTTTGACCAGAAACTCATAACTCCCGTCGCCGTGCACCTAGAGCGTTCGAATTTATGTTAGTAGGAGTACGGGGGATGGGGGACGATAGGAACACTTATGAAAGGTGGCAGGACCGGCGGAAACCGGGTGTGTTGCTATTCGTGCGATTCTGGGTGCGTGCGACCAATTGCGCGGCGGAATTCGGTGCTATTTGGACGACTGCAACGTTTATCATTTGGGCCCAAACTCGAAGTAAAGTAGTTTAGTAGGATTGTCCGACCCTTCTAATCCTCCCCCCCCCCCCCGGAAA